AACACAGACTGCTCACCATTAACTTCCCGAATGCTCGCTTGAAGCACGCTGAGATTGAACCAGTTCCGGACTCAAGTGGATTGGTTCGCCATGACTTATTTTTGTCTTGAATTAATCACTGATTTCCACTCCTTTTTAACCTCAGCCGTCGATTCCTGTTGCTTTTTCTGGTTATCATAGTAGCTAAATTGCGCTCATGTTGTTGACTTCGGGACGTTCCCGATCTACCAGGACCGCGTGACCACCAACAGGATCGTTGTGGTGTTTGTGCTGCTTTTCAAAGTTTCGGTAAATACAGTACGCACAATCTAGAAACCAGCACAAAGTTGAATTCCTACGGAGAACGCATGTCCTCAACATCACTATTAGACTAGTCCGATGATAGTTTGAACAATCTCTAAGCCGACCGCTTCTGACAGAGCTTGTCGAATTTGCTGTCTGAATGTGGAAGATCAAGGCAATTTTGTTATGTCATGACACCTAGCATCACGTACTCAGTCGGCGGTCGTGTTTACGATGCTACTCTTTATGTAGCCCAAAGTCTGGCCGTTGTGAATAGAAGACGGTGCAAACTGACTGCATTGGACAGTCGGTGCGTCCGAAATATTGCTGGCTTTTAGTAATAATTACAAGACTGGCTGACAGCCCATTGCTTGTCCACCTGCAGGGATTATCAACGCTCCGGTCCCAAACCAACGGCGGTTCCATCAGTTCTATCGGATAGGGCGTATGAGATCACTTCCGGCCATCGGCAACGACGATGACTGCGTTCTATCGTTCTCGATTATTAATCTGTTGCTTGCGGATCGCACTTGTTTGTGCAAGGCTCATTGTCTGAAAGCATATCCCCTCGTTACTTCGTGAGAATGTTCAAGTCAATCAACATAGACATGACTACGGTGCTCCCGGCAAGCTACGCATCCTTTGTTAGGCCAGCCGCAAGTGACCAATCTATTGGTCATGTGTTGACAACTCATGGTCCTGTTAGTACTCGGGTTGTAATGGAATTAACTCAATGATCAGGTGATATACACTGATGATGCATGTTTTTAAGAATGATGATCACAATAGTTACTTTGATAAAACAAATACAAGGCCGAAAATAAAGTGTCAGAAGGAGACTTATCGTTTGAAGACAACTATTAAGTGAAGTTCCGGACGCGGGACGTGTTTTCTCTGCAGCATAGCTGCTACACGTGTTCCGTAGTTGTCCGTGTGGCGCTTGGTCCACTTCATGTCCTGTGTGCTGGTGTGTGTGTGTGTGGTTGACCGAGTTGCATGCCTATCTGTTGTATGCTATGTGAAGAGAGGAGTGTCCATTCTCATTTGATAGTCCCACGAACGTGAGTACAACTCCATCTAATGTGGTTGAAGGCTGTAAGCCTAGCGCTTGACGCAGATGGTGGATGGGAAGTCGTAGTATGCATGTTGTCAGTTAAGGTTGCAAGTTGGACAGAAATCGTTACGTGATTCGCATGTTTGTGATGCATGATCTAGTGAGTGACTGCTACAGTGTTCAGCACAGGAATACCTGTTCACATCGGGAACGTCTGCACCCTGTTCAGTGTTTGCAGTCTGAGGATAACGCTTCTTATTCTCCATGCTTACCTGTCAGATACCGCATGCTTCTCTGAGATAACGGTGTCCAACTTAGGCATCATATGAATGTCTGTGGTGGGAATATGGACGTCTATTACTGGTCCAACTACAGCGATCTAGTGGACAACTCCAGTCTGTACGAGGTTGTCTCTACGGTGACGTAGCTTCGAGATCGGGGTTTTACTTGCAGTGGTCTCATTGCTTTTCGGACTTTATCTGACCAGCATCGCGCTTGTAACCCGTGCTCGGACTGGGCCTCCGATGAGCATCTGATCCATTTTCCGCATTGATGTGGAGATCAAAAGTTGCCAGAAACACCTCTAAACTCATCTCACTCTGTCCACAGGTCAGGGTCTACACGTGTGTCGGCCTGATTTGGTTTGTGTACCGCATCCAACTAGCTGGACCTACTTGAACCTCATACAGAACTTTGCCGCGCCGGCCAAGAATGTACCTTGGAATCTACATAGGGTGTCTGCCGCTGTAGTCGCAAACCGACGCTTTGGACCTCGCTCAAGCAGCTCATGGTTGCACTGATATCGGTTGGACTGTTCGTCCATTCTCGTTTATCGGTGACTCAGTTTCCTTTTCTATGGCCTGATAGTGTTCTAAGCTTCTGTCGCAGCAGTGCCTCTGCTGGTGCCACTCTCTTAGATGGATTGGGGCTTGACGTTCTTTGAAATCTTAGTAGGAAGCTTTGCAAAATATCCTCCGTCGGTCCTTCTTATTCGAAACTTTAGGGTGTCAACGAAGTGTTCCTCTTGGCCATTCGAATGTGGATGAAACAGCGACGAGTGGACATGAGTTACACTGTACTCTTCAGAGAACTCTGCGAACACCGATGATGTGAACTGACTGACGTTGTCGGACGCACTAGTCTCTGGTATTTCAAAGCGACTGAACAATCGTTGGATTTCCTGACCGTAGTGGCGGTTGTGGGACCGTCCACTGAGAGAATTTCTGGCCACTTGCCATAAACGTCGACTACGACCAACAATTGTTGACCACTAACTTGACCTGCATAGTGGGTGTGAAGACGGGACCAGCATTCGGTCGACTGCGGCAACGACTTTAGGTGGGTTTTCATGGGTGAATTAGCTGGCTCGCCGGACGGCAGACAGGATTTGGAAGCCTGCTTGATCTTGGAGTCCATTAGAGGCCATTAGACGTAACTCTAAGCAAAGGCCTTCATCCTGTTTGTTCCAATGTGCCCTTTATGAAACTGATTCGGGACGGTTGGTTGTAACTCTTTCGTACTGACAACGCGTTCTGAAGATGGTAGGCATCCGTAGCAGTGCGCTGCGCTTGTTGATGTGTGTTCTTACATCATCTTGTGGGTTGGCGCGTGTTAGCCCTGGTACTTGAAGATTTGCTGTAGTACATGGCCTTGGTTGGTAGCCTGGTGGGTCATGTCAGTAGTCATTGGAAGGATACGAACTGTTTCCGACACTAAGTGGTTCACCTCCAGCTGCAAGCAAATTGTTGAGACTACATAGCTTTCTGGTTCTGGCTCTCTCGAATCAATAAGACGCGACAGTGCGTCGGCTTGTCTCAGGTTGGTGGACTTGAAGTCGTATTCCAAGAGTAAAGCGGCCCGTCACTGGAGACAGTTCGTGGTATACACCAGAATCCCCTTCGAGCCAAGCGCGATCGCCAAAGCTTCCTTTTCTGCGTGACTATAGTTGCCCTCGGCTGTGTCAGAAATGGCTTTCTGGCTGCTGTGGGGAAATGCATGAGAAATCACCGCGCCGGTGCCATAGTTCGAGGCATCTGACTCCACAATGATTTCCAATGACGGATCGTAGTTGGTGAGAAGCAAATCTGAACTCAGGATGGATTTGACATAGTCAAAGGCGCGTTGGCATTCTTATCACCATGTCCATCTGCGATCCTTGCTGAGAGGCTGGTTCAGTCTGCCTCGGAGGCGATGCATAGCTGTCAGAAACGAACTGTATTGATTGACCAGACCGAGTAAGGACCTGAGGGTTGTCACTTCTGTAGGTGCTGGCATGCATTTGATAGCGTCGATGTTCTGCGGGTCTGGTCAGTGGACATGTCCGTCATTGATGAAGCGAGATACTTTATCGACAACATGATGGTGCATTTTTCTCGTTGAACTCTGGCGCCATACTCTTGAATACGACCATACACGTCATCAAAGCGCTGTCACAATTCGTCGAGGTTGGAACGCATAAAGATGAGGTCGTCCAAATTGGTGTCAACGGTGGGGCTATCCTCCAGCATCGTATCTACGAGCTATTGAAATATAACTAGCTCTGTCTTGATAGCAAATATCATTCGGGTGTACCGGAACAAAACGCTGTGCGTATTGATGGTCAAAAGTTTTCGGAATTCTTTCTTGACTTCAACCTAGAGGCCAAATAAGTCTTCGCAAAACATTTGCCACCGTTCAGTTTCGCGAACAAGTCGTATGGAAGGGCACTGATGGATTTCTGTTGATGGGTACTGATGGGTATCCAGTTCATCATTGAGACTGGTGAAGAGGCCTGCACACAAGTAGGTAATCCCCTTATCCTTCTTTAGTATTGCGGCCTATACCGAACACCGGACTTCTGTAGTCAGTCCAGTTCCTCGTCCACAGTTGGCAAAGCTGCATACTGTACCAGACGTTTTGGCCTGGAAACCGGTCTGGCATTGGGGAGGAGGCACAGTCTGACTTTTGTGCATTGTCCAACCCCTTCGGTGAGTGTGGATGCTTCGGAAAGTGCCTCCGGATGCTGCGCACTTGAAGTTGCGAATAGAGCCAGTCTGCTTTTCCAGTATGTACAGTTTATCGCTACACTCCAAAAGCAGTAGAGGACTTGCGCCGACTCTCTTGTCATGCAAGGGGTGAGCTGCCGTCTTCGATAAGCGGCAGTCAAGTAAGGGCTGAAGGGTCTCTATGTCAACTCGACTCACTGTGTCTGGTGCTGGGTTCGCAAGCGAACTTCACTGTCTGTGCACTTGGCATGTGGCTACTTTTCGTTGGTAGCAACACCACGGCACATCCGGGAACCCAACTCATCTTATTACTCGTACCAATTGTCTTAAATCGAGTGGGTGAGTCGCACTGTCTTCCATGGTGTTTTCGGTTGTGGACTTCACAACAAACTACCCCATAGTGAGAGATGGTGACAGACACGTTCCACCCGAACGTCAAAATCTGCTGTCTTCACTGAATAACAACTATTTTTCCCAGTATACCTGCTTCATTAGACACATGCACCATTGTTTCGAGCTGTCGCGCAGTTTTTTTCATCTGTTTGTCATCGGCGCGTCTGAGTAGCTGGATCATTTCAGACAATGATTGAAGAGAGATTTTAGTGAAGGAATCTTTTTTCCAATGTCTGTTTCAAAAAAAACTTTGCAACCGGGACCTTTGTGTGTAGCTCGTACGCACATTACAGCTGATAGAGGAGAGGAAGTGGCGGGGAATAGATGGTCATCTGGATGAAATTGATGGAACGTGCTTTGGCACCCTGCTTTTCCCAAGCAGATCCGTCCATCCCGGTCTGATTTATATAAAGGAGTTGGTTGAGAATAAACGACAGTATCCAGAAGCAAAACCGGTAATCAGTTGTCAACGAATTGTTATCAATTTCTCCATACCACTCGCTGTTCCTCTTTTTTTGCGGTTGATGGAAGTACTCGGAACTGTGGTTTGAAGTTCCGTCCGAAGAGGACAGTGTTCGTGTGAAATACATGGATGGTTAGTATATCATTTCTGAAACTGGGTAAGACGTTTGGACTGTCTTGAGGGATCCCATTTTGAGTCCGGTGAATGCTGGCATTCTACGTGTCCTCGATGATATCTCAATCGATGTGGTAGAGTCTGAGCAATCATCGTTTCGGGCATAAGTATCACATTGTAGCATATGCACCACACATAATGTGCGAGTTCTTCGCGCGTGCTTTTGTATTGTTGTTGTTAATTTTATATTTGCAACCGGAACACAACTTCATTATCCCTCTCATCCATATGACGATGTTTCTTTTTTTTCAGTCCAGCATTCAGCTTCACCAGATTTAATAACTTCTTCGACCAGCCAATCCCAACTTGAATCGCCTGGATCCCCGAAAGATGCATCTTCTAGTCAGTCAGGCTCTCCGTTCGACGGATCAAGGCAGAGTGCCGTAGCCGCTAGTGATGGTCGGTCCACCGACGCAACTGCCACCACCAGCGGTAGCGGCAGTGAAACAACTGCAGTCACAGCAACACAGCCACTCACGTCCAAGTCCAACACAGGCAAACGGATTCTAAATGGCCGACCTTCAAGACCCAAATCCAGTGAAGTCAAAAAATGAGTATGAGCAAGGTGGGGGGATGACTTACGTCAATTTGGTTGACTGTGTTTTGCGACATCTCTTGGTCTGATTTTCGAACAATTGGAATATCATACGTCCATGTCACCAAACAGCGAAGGATTGGGAGCGTTGGTCTTCGGACGCGTCGTTATGTCAATTAGTTCTACCGAGCAGGTTTTCCACAGGTTCAAAGGGTATTTTTCTATCCTTTCTACCGAGTACACAGACAGCTCACAAGACGTAGAAAACTCCTCTGGCTTGTGGTACTTGAAGAATAGTCAGGTTGTTTAATATAAGTAATAATAGTAATGATAGGGATGATATTAGTACGTGATTTCTGGATAGGGCACCTGCCACTTTAGTTACCAGTCTCAGAAGGTGATCCTGTGGACCATGGGTCCGCCGGCAGTTCTGCCCGGTTGTTGAATTTGATTTTTGATGTGATTCTTGATCCAGCCAGCTGTTGACTCATTCAGACAGCCGCACAACCAATTGTGTGACTGTCATTGCATTTCTTAGAAAATTCAACAGTCGCCAAGCTATTGAGCTTGAAATTAGCCGCGTTTTACAAAGCATTGCATGTTCGAACTTATACTTGGGGGTGTTGACGGGAGATTCAACTACATCTCTCATTTACGGACAAAGACCGCCTCATGTTTTGAATATCATGCTGATGAGAGATTCAGTTGAATCTCCCATCAATACCAGAATAATGTGCGAACGAGTCTATTTCGTCGATTGTGTGAATGTAGGTTATCGAAACTTGCAGATAAGCTTCAAGAAGAACGAATGCGGTTACGGACTGTTGAAGAGTTTTCAGTAAATATATGTATAGACAACATGTTCTATCTGGAGAACGTGTTCATCAATCCTCTTATTCTAATTTCCCTCAACTACCTGATTTTAGCACGTTTCCTGATTGGACGCGAGCTAACTATCGTTCACATCACATTGTTTTTTGTGCCCTCAGATGTTCAACCAAACAAATTCACGGTTGCAACCACCTGGTGAAACTGACACAGTAACCCGCCTGAAGAGACAATCGTTGTGGATACTTGTGCCTGCTTTCCATCAGAGCCAAACACTCCCTTCCGTCCACAGATCTGTGTTCCAGCTGTTCGCCGTCATCGTTTTACTCTTGCACAGTTTGAATGTAAAAGGCGCCTCAACTTTATTTTCTATTCTGATTTTGAACGTTTTCTTCAGTTCCTCACTCCACCTAGCCCAATGTGATTGTGGTTTTCCC